CTGGTCGCAGGCACATCACAAAGTCCCTGATTGACCCAAGGGAGGGGCTTCCAACTGGTGGCAAACAGGCAGCCCCCCCCCAGCTGATATAGTTGGAGATATAGTCTCCAAGAAGAGAGAATGAAAGTGTTTCTACCTGGTGAGGGTTTTTTTTCTTTTCTTTTAGTAGATTGCCCTAAAAAACTCTTTTCTTAAGCTTAATTAGTCCATTAAGCAAGAACTTAATCCCCATTGGACTGCCTTAGAAAGTTTTTTGCTCTTGCTTGTAATCTTTTGTGGATTGAGTGATTGCAACACTCCCGTTTTTTCCGCTTGAGGTAAAGGGATCTCTTTTTTCCCTATTTTCCTTTACTACTTTAACTAATTTCTTCTTCTGCCTGTTGCAATATTATATTGGAGATACTTAAGGAAAGAGGTTTTAAAAGAATCGAATCTGCCACCTAGAAGCCCAAATCTGAATCTTTTTTCCTTTGCTAAGAATTGGAAAAGGAGAGAAAAACTTTAGAACTCTTCTTCTTTGAAAATATATATATGTGTGTGTGTGTGTGTGTGTGTGTGTGTGTTTTATTTGTGCTGATAAATAAATAAAGGTAAATTTAAAATTTTAAAATAAAGCCAGTAGGTGGTTGTGTCTTCTAATATAAATGATTCTATATAAAAAATATGTTTAAACAATGGTAACCAAATGAGAATTATCATACAGAGGTAGTAAAATATATAACTTTTCTTTCTTGATTTTAAATGTACAACATGATTTGAATGAAATATATGTAAGGACTGTGGAAGAAACGCACGGAATATATTTGTAACCAAACGATACGCTTTCAACAAGATGTAACGAAAGATGTTTTTTTTTTCTGTTTAACTAAAACAATAAAAAAAATTCTCAAAAAAAAATGCCACTTCATGTTAAGACAAACTAAAGGAATTGACTTTTATTACTTATTTTATTTTACTTTCCTTCTATTTTCCCCACAGCAACAATTGTCTGAAGTGGGTTGCCCAAGTCAGGATTAGAACTCACAATCTCCTGTTTTTTACCCTGGTCCCTTAACAACTGGCCTAAATTAGTCCATTTAGTTCATTTTGGCATGTTGTTCAGGGCAAGTTTGAGGAACAGATTAGGTAACTGAAATATGGCATAAACAAAACATTTCTGTTCAATGAATGCTGGTTATAGATATCTCATATTTGAGTTGCAGAGATTGTAGAGACTTTTATTCTCTGATTGAGAAAGAGATTAAACTCAATAATCTGCCTCTTAGAATCAGACAGTATATTCAGAAAAGCTATGCAACCCAATGACATTTTGATTGGGCACTCATAAAGGAGCATATGATCGTCATTGCCTTACCTGACCCAAAATTTAAAAATAACATTTAAATTTCATTTTCAATTTGTCAGGAAAAGCTTGAAGATATAATATAATAAAGCCAGGACAAAAACTCCATGTGCCAAGCTTTAGTAAACCAGTAATAGTTAGGGCTCAAAAGAATATTTTGTCTGTATATATGACAAATTTCCACACCTTTTAGAGAACATTTTTCTGTTCCCTATGAAAAAAAATGCAATATAGTGTTGTGTTTTTCTGGGATTATTTACTATATAACTAATTTGATTCTAATTAGGTCACCTGTCATCTGTTCACTATCATTTCTTGCTCTAGTATAGGGATGGCTAACCTTTTTTGGATCACGCGCCAAAAGCGGGGGGGGGGAGTGCAGTGGGGTTGTGTGTGGGTGTGCCCACCCCTATAATGCTATGCACGCAACCCCAGCATGCATGTGTGCATGACCAGCGCTCCCCCTGTTTTTGGCGTGCTTTTTTCACCCTCCCCAGGCTCCAGAGGCTTTCTAGGACCCTGGGGAGGGTGAAAACAGCCTCCCCTGCCCCTCACAGAGGCCTTTTGGAGGCTTCAGGAGCTTCCCTGAAGGCTCTGGAGTGCAAAAAAATGGCCTTATGGGCAAACAAGCAGTTTGGGAATGGACTTCCGGTTTGCTGGTATGGCCATTTTTCACCCTCCGGAGCCTTCAGGGAAGCCTCTGATGAACAAAAAAATGGACTTAAAAGAAGGCAGAAGTCAGCTGACCAGCATATATATGCACCCTGGAGCTGACAGGGCAATGCCTCACGTGCCCTAACAGATGGCCCTGCGTGCCACCTGTGGCACGTGTGCCATAGGTTCGCCATTACGGCTCTAGTATAAAGTTTTCCATCATAGTCCTTTCGTAGACTTTATTTTCTAAGCTACCCCAAAGACCACCTCTAACTGGCAAACCTTGTTGGAAATAGAGAACCATTATTCTCTTGTGTTAGTTGATTTCTCAACATACTAGTAATGAAGTTCCTGTGTGACTTTGTTGAAGCAGTAATAGAAGAAAGTAGAAGAATCAAAAGAAAGTGGCAATCAATATTGGGTTCCTCCAACCAAATGTATCATTCCAGCAAGATGACAGGACTAGCAGCACAACAATGGGAAATATTCATGTTAGGTAAGCTCCCCGTTAGGAGAACGAGTGTGTGCAGAGAAGCGTAGTGAGAGTGGTGTGGAAGAAACAGATAAACCAGCATACGGAGACACTGAATTGTAAAACAGATAGTATTTTACTTCTGTGGACAATAGAGGTATGCAGAGTCCAATTCATACACGGTTAAGACAGTCATCAACGTTCTCAGTTAAGGGGTGATCCATCAAACATAGTCCAGTATCATATAATCAGTTCAGCACACAAAGTTGCTGACAGTAGCAAAACTCAAAGTAATTCACGCTGAGCAATACACGACAAATTTACAAGCGTATCCAACTATCAGCATCTAACAAACAGAGAGCTAACAGTCATTCTGGCTCCATCTTATGGCCGCTTGAGGTAACAGCAACCAATCACATTTACAGCAGTACTTAAAGATACAGTACTACTATCATGGGTTATATATTGCTAACCCAACTGTTAGCTTACATTCCTAACAGTGTAGACGGGTGGGCTGCTATGGGTTCGCCCAGGTTCAGGAGAACCCGTAGCTAATGTTATGGCTGGTTCAGACAACCTCCAAATCCTACCCCTGGTGGCCCCATCCCTCCCCTCCCAGGAGTCTCCACGCAGCCTGTTTTGGATGTGAGGTACGTACATGGAGGCTCAGGGAGGAGGGAAAACAGGCCTCCTGGAAGTTCCAGATGGCCAGAAACAGGCCTGTTTCCGGCCTCCGGAGCCCAGGGGAGAACATTTTTGCCCTCCCAGAGGCTCGAGGAAAGCTTCCAGAGCCTGGGGATAGTGAACCCCCTGCTGTGGTGCAGGAGGCTGACTAGGCCATGCCCACCATGGCCACACCCACCCAGCAACCGGGCAGAGAGCCCGTTGCTGAAATTTTTGATGCCCACCCCTGAGTACAGATTTGAGAGAAGCTCAGAGTCTAAG